AATGTTGGTGTGCATGAATCAGATGGAGGACAAAAACTTTTGCGTAATTGGCTTTAATTCGACCCGTGACCTTTTTTTGTTCGCGCAGAGTCAGTCGTTTTCTGTCCACGCTCCACTTTGTTAAAATCGGAACACGCAAAGCGAAAATTACCGAAAGGGACGATTAATTTGTCTGACCTGGAAAAAAACAGAGAATCGCAAAAGGAAAATGTAGATAAATTTGCAGTGGAAAAGGGAGGAATCACACACGATCTCTTTTCGTCCGTTACGTTTTTTCGCCCAAACAGCTTATCGCCAATTACGGATCGCGAACGTTCGCGTTTTAACTGCTTCGCAATCGATGATGCTGCCGTTCTCGAATGAATACCAAATTTTATCCTCACGCGAACAATGATACATTAGCTCTTCTTTGAAAGCGCATATTTCTTCTGTATTCGAATTTTTTCTGTTGATCTATCAAAAGACGATTATTTTTCTATCGTCGGATTAAATCGCAATTTCGCTCAAACAAAGTTGAATTTTTCACGAAGTGCTAATTTATAAGCATGAATATCATTTCGTCTATCTGCACAGTTCTTTAATTTTCATAAATTTTTTAAAGTAACTGTATTTCTTTCAAAAGATGCGCAAACGCGGAAAGAGATGCAAATAGTGAGAAAACAAATATTTATTGTGCGAATTCTTTCAGTAGAGACTTATTAGTCGTTAACTTCTCAACTTTCCTCACCGTCACGCTTTTTTTTTTCTTACCGAAGTTTGCCCCGCCAGTAGGTAGCTGCACGAATCCTAAGGGAATTTTCTGCCTTTGCCGTCGGCGATAACCATGTTAATGCAATTTCTTGATGGTTTACGGAAACGGTCCATATCCTCTCACTTCTAGCGTGCCAAGTCGGCAGTCTTGCGTGCTCGCGCGCCTCCCTTATCACTTCTTTCTCGCACTTTTTTCCGCCCCTTTTGTTCATCTCCGTCACGACTCTTTTTCGTCGTTTTGCCACATTTCGGACAATTTCACCTCTTGTCCATCAACTTTTTGCTATGAAAATCTTATTTACTGATCTTTCTGACAGGCGGAAAATTCTATTTAGATCCACGTTTAGCATTTACCTAGAAAATAATATCGCACAAAATCAAGATCATCTATATCTCCATTTTAATCGGATCTTCTTCATTGTGTTTTAATTAATGACATCTTTGTTAACTTTTATATTTATTCCGAATGTTCGGAAGTCACTTACCATTTCTATTGTTTGTACGAGAATGATACGCTGGCTCGCCTCTCCTACTTCTCTCGCTGTTTCGAGGTATGCTGTATCGAGTGTATAACGCCTTGTTTTAGTACGAACCTAGATCTCTTTAGTTTCGACCAAACTTCGCCAATAGAAACTCGCGTTAACCAAGTCTGACCTAAGACTCGCGCTAGATCGGGATTTAAACTAGCAATTCAAGTTGTGTTGTTGATGGAACTAAGAGTTTAATACAAAGTATAGTGATACGCTACGAGACTCTTGAAACAATCGGTGGGGATTTAAAAGAATCAGTTCGGCGGAACAAATTACAGTTTCGTATTGTTACGGAGATGCTTCGGGACGGATTAGTCAATGCTGCAATTATATCGCGATCAGAGCGTTGACAAATTGTTTTTCTCCTATGTTTTTTGGAACACTTGAACATCGCGGAAATTTTTTTGCCGTAAATACTGCGATTTGTATTCTTTAGTCGCTCCTGTTACGAGACTTTAATTGGACGAAGCTTGGAGATAACTAACGCGGATGTAACGAACGGTTCGCTATCGTCGCTGGTTACGGATTTTGATGCATCCAGTTATCGGGAGCATGCTTGAATTGCAGAAATCATTAACGAGATGGCACGGTGCTTTTCGCTTCTCGTCATGCGTATTTGAGCGCGGTATTGCGAAGTAAATTGACGTCATTGTTTGTTTTAAAGGCTCAGACAATGTAGGCCGTAATAATTTCTAAATACACGTTTGTTTATTATTTATCTGATAATGCTTATCGGCGAATTTAAGAGTTCACGTCAAGAGATTTATGCCCGAACGTATATCTCTGTGGAATACTTAGCAAGAGAAATGAGAAACTTGGTTATAGCGCGAGGGAAAAACAAACTTGATAATTAATGAGGGACATTATAATCTACAGTATTAAAATTATCCCGGTGTATTAAAAGTACGACAAAGACGTAAGGATATTTAATATTTTTCACGGAAGATTGATGCAAAAGTGTTTTGAACAATATTTTATTATAACGCCTTGTTGTCTAGCTGTAGAGAGGTAACTGCATATCGTGAAACGATGAGATATTCTTGGAAACTAGGACTCTTAGATTCTCCTAAGAGTAATTTGATGCATCGTAGTCGAGTGGATTAAGTATCGGAATGGCGATCTGCAGCTTTCCACTGTTCCTCTTTGTCTTCTTCTTCTTCTTCTCCTCCGTGCAACACGATTCAGTGAACTCTAAGAGTAATAGATAGTTTTAGTTTGGTATAAACTTTCACCGGATAAGATGTCCAGGGCTTTACGATAAGACCTGCTTCGAGGTATTCGCGGTTGTCCTTAATACCCTTGGAGAGGTATTAATTCTTCAATTATCGGGGTAGAATGCCCGAGGTGTAATAAACTCTCTATTCAGTATATCAATGCAGATTATACGCGGGAACGTAATTCTTGTAGAAGTTCCGAGACATCCAATTATTGGTGTTATTGCAATAGCATAAACCGATTAATTAATTATATTTTATCATCAGTAGAAATGAGTGTATTATTGTTATATCAATTTAATTACAAAAGTTTACGTCACTATGAATAACTTTTTAATTACATCATCTGTGTATATTTTACGAACAAATTAATGTTTAGTAAAATATTAATTATACTTTAGCTTTGTTTTATAATGGCATATTCAAAAAATAAATTTTTAAACAAAAAGATAAAGGATTATAAATTGATTAATTTTACTTTATTGTTACTGTGCTTATTTTTTTACATATAACATAAATTAAAATAGTTTTATAAGTCTATATAATATTTAAGCCCTTTAATTGATTTTAATTTTCAATTTTACTAATTTATATTACGCTTGTATAAAGGCAGTTACATGATGCAGAAAATGCAGTAATAATTCGATCGGTCGAAGCAAAGCAATAAATCCTGTTAAGCGTGAAGATCAGTGGTTTGAATCAAAGCTTTCGCGGATCATGTGCAACGTTAAGGAGTAGAACCGCACGTGCGGCCCGTCAGACACGTGCGATCCATACCGCAAGTAGCCGAGTTTTAATTTCGTC